CTTTACTGCTTATAACAAATACAGATGGACAGATATCAGGGTGAAATGAAGGGCAGGGGCATTTGCAAACTGACAGAGAGAACCTTCTCCACTAGCTACTTGAAAATAAGCAGATCTTAATCAGCTCTTCTGCCTTTCATTATCTTCAGAAAAGCTTTAGAGTTAATATTCTCTAGCGGAAGACTGAAACGCTTTTAGGAAGTGCATGTTGTTTTATGAGACTCTTTTGAAGAGGTTGTCTAAAATGCTAATGTTTCTCTTTTCATTACGATTCATGAAGCTTGTGGCTTTCAAACTTACAATTTCAGTTTCAGTCATGGGAATTGGGTTATTTCAACCCCTGTCCCTTCTCAAATGTTACTAATCAAGAAATTTGTTGTTTCTAGCCTACGTGAATGGGGGATCTGAATTCCTGACCTAATAATTCACATTGGTTTTGAATCAGGATTAGTTTATCTCTCTGTTACATGCAGCATCACCTGTAGCAGTGTTAGCCATGGAAAATACTCTCAAGGAGAATATATTCACACTTAACTGTAAAAACAGGATAAGAAGGTGCCTCAAAAATGTGAGTGGAAAGAGAATACTGTATATTCACCCACAAGTGATGGGGTTATCTAAATCCGCGTAGTAGATCGATCAGACTACTGGTGAAATAGGCATGGCATCGAAAGTCTACTTTGACATCTTAATTCCTGTGAAGAAGGGTAGAAGAAGAGAAGGGTGTAAGTTGTAGGTGCCTCCTCCCAGCAGGGAACTGAACACCCAGTACGCCAATCCTCTTTGAGAAGTCTGCTGCCTCCCTGGGGCTCATCCGAAGGACATTGCCAAGAAACTGCCTAGCCTGTACAACCAGTAGATCATTGTACATTACTCCTTCTCCATGTGGGGAGTGATGAAGTAGCAATACTTACTCCAAGGGCTATCAGAAAGGATTTCAGAGCTTTAGGATGTCTGATGAAGAAGTCGAGGATACAGGTCATCTTCTCGTCTCTGCTTACTGTAATGGGTAAGAACTGAAAGAAATGGGACGATCCACTATATAAACACTTGGCTTCTTGGCTGGTACCACTGCCACTATTCTTTTTCTTTTGACAACAGGATAGCCTACATGGCACTGGGCAGTCACGGGTTTCACCTCTTTCAAAGGTAGAAGAGGGTCCTTAGTGAAAAGACACTAGGGCTCATTGGCAGGTTTTAAACTAGGTTTGAAGGGGGAGGGAGATAAGTGATCTTGTCCATGATAAGATGTGGGATGACATAGCTAAGTTAGAGGGACAGGGACTAGAAGTGAGGGCCCTCAACCTGCTGGCAACACTGAAGCACATTTGAAATCTTACGACCATAAGCCAGGGACCTCTGAGATGATATGAGAAGGCAACAGGGAAACTCAAGGGAAATACTTCAAAGGAATTAAGGAATTATCCTCTAAGAAGGTGACAAGACCAGCTGGATCTGTTGCACACCAACACAGGTAATCGGATTGGTGACATCAGGACTGTAGTGACCATGCAGTAGTAGAGTTCATACTCCTCAGATACATGGGACAGAGAAAGAATAAAATCAGGACGCCAAATTTTAGGAAAGCCAACTCCAAGTTCTTCAGGGAGTTAGTGAACAAAATCTTGTGGGACTCTGTCCTCAGGGACAGGGGAATGTGTAACGTGTGTTTGCTATTTCAGCTTCCATTTAGCTGCATCACATGCAACAGTGCATTTTTCTGGCATAATCACTCCTTCAGTTGGGTTGGGATTGTTGTGCCATCATCCTGAGATTCTGCAGTTACTCAGAGAAGTTTTCCAAGAAAGACTGTGGGGAATCCTACCTGTCATAATCTAAAAATAATTGAAGAAAAACTAAACCAGAAAATTAAAAAATCAACCCCAGGATGTGTTTGAATGTCACAAAGTAGAGTTACATGGCAAAGCATGACACTATTTACCACTGCAGTGTATGTAATTAGGGGAAGTCTTGTCAGTGCTGATCGAACTTGGACAAAAAAACACCAATTTTAACTGATGAGCTATTGTTTATTTATAGGATACCCTCTTTTCCTAAATTAGCAGAAAGAATATACATATTGCTTCAAATACACTATACGAGTCTTTGCTTTTCTGCTATGCTTTCCTTGCCAAGAAACCCTGCCATCAGAACAATAACCGTAAAATTACCATTAATGTGGGTCTGTGTCCAAAGGAGATGGGCTCCTATTCCATGTCCTTCTCACTAAATTGCCTGAGGGTGCTGCTGCAACAAATTATATCCATTAAATATTTTCCCATAAAGAACCACTTGAATAGACTTGCTCCCCATATTGACATCAGCTTCATGCTAGCTGACAGCTGAGGAGCACCAGGAAGATGCTCTTGATAAAGCACGGACTGCTTATGAAACCAGCTTTGCAACTCCTTCCTAGCACTGGCATTTGCAAGGGCTGCCTTCAAGAAGGGATATGATAGGACAGAAACCAAGATGGCTTTGAACGGAAAGGAAAGTTTGTGTTTTATGTATTGTTTTATGTAAACAAACCCTAATAGATGAGCTTGTGGGGAACAGGTTTCCATATGGCACAAGCAGTGGCAATCATAAGCTGAGCCCACTGAACCTAGTGAGAACTAGGATTTCTTAAAGAACTGTGACTCTTTTTTTAATGTGTGATATTAGGCGTCAGTCAAAGAGGTTAGCTTTATTTTTTTCAAAAGAGAATGTGAGCCCAGAATTGGGACGCTGATGGATGTTGCTGCGTTTCAGTCTCCAGCAGAAAAAAAGGCCCAGTGAAACAAACCTCAAAAATTGGGTCTTCAAGTCTCGGACCTGCTGTTTGAACTATTCTGTCCAATGGTAAAACTCATGCTTATTCGAGTGGGGTGGAAACCATCCCTTAGTTTGGTGGATAGTTTGTGGAGATGCTTGTGATCCCTTCTGGGACTGGCTCCATCAGTCAGTCATTGGGATAGGTCTGAGGAGTTAGTGACATCTCACGGCTGAATAAGAACTTTTAAATTAAAAGCAGATTGTTAGGGTATTTGGATGAGCAAGTGCCATTACCCAGAGTCAGCAATCACAAGTTAAAATGGATGGGCTTTGCTGAGCTGACATGGACAGCTGCACAGCAGCTCTGAGACGTGTTTTGCTGTTATTGAAGATGACACAGAAACAGTAAACATTTTAGGTTTTTGTCTGTCTTTCAAACTGAGCCCAGGCTTTCACAGATTAGAGAGCATGAAGACGCTCTGACGACAGAAATGCTTACTAACATTTGCTGCTTGTCTTAGCAAGCCCTTTGAGAAATTCCGAAGGAAAAGGGACCAGCACTGCCTGTGGGAAGTAGGAATTTCTGCAGGAAATGGTTGTGGGGTTTTTTTCTGTGTCAGACCATTTAGAATATATTCAAATGTTTTGTGATGAGTTTTTGTTTCATTTTGGTGAGACGGTCACAAAATCTAAGATAAAAGGATGACTTTAAGATGTATATTTAAGGGCACTGGACACTGTTGGGCTGAAGGCCTGGTAATCTTTGTGTTGTCAGAGAAAAAGTCCTTGGAGAAATCAGTGACAATCTACAAGAACTCATTATAATTTCAAGGGAAAGGTTGTGTTCTGCTACTCCATCTTCTGTAAGAATCACTACAATGAATGCAGCCCTCAGTAAACTTGTTTTTCACTGAATCACATCATTCTGTCTCAACACACCTACAGACCTTGCAGAGTCTCTGAACTTTGGATTAGGAGTTTGGTTTTTATCTCCGATGATGATAATTTGTCGCTGTTCATAAATTCCACTGACCCTGCACTGCTGGTATTTGCGGTTCTTTTGATCCACTGGAGGAAAAGGGCAAAAGATAACAGAAACTGAGAAACAGGGAAATACCAGCCAAGGAGAGAAGCTGCCATAGAGACTAGTGGCTGATTCATGGTTTTCAATCCCACCTCCCTCTGTCATAAGCACTCTGTTTCTTGAAAGCAAGTGAAATCGTTGCTATGCAAATAAAATTTGCTTTCAGAAGGAAACAAATGTTTGGAGAGCTGACTTGGCTGGAATTTTCCTTGCACATATACTTTTGACATATCAGTGCTTATACTTTGTGTGCATGCATGAGGAAGGACAGGGAACAGAGAAATGTTAGTGAAGATGTTCCCATCTGTTCCATTATTTGAGGATGTAAAAATGCTTGTCAGCTCTCATAGGCTATTCTATTTTTGCCAGGTGGTCTCCCTGCTCAGATTTCACATCAAAAGCAGCTGTGAAGATTTTTTTCCCAGCACATGTAGAACAAGGGATCCCTCTAGTCCCATCCTTTTTTGGCAGAAGGCAAATATAGGATGCAGCAAGAGCTTAATTTAAGGATTTCTTGCATTAGATCTTGAAGACCTCTTTCCTTTACTTCTGAAATAAATACAGGTTAACCCCATGCAGTTGTATCTTATGTGTTACCCTGTCCCCACTTTCAGAGCGCAGAATGCTTCACTTTGGTCTACTGCCATTTTCCTACTCGCTGTGCTCCTGCAGCACTCAAAAACTTCCTCACCAAAAATCATCTAACAAGGTCACCATCTAGATACAAGAGAAGGCAATAAAGTGCCCTGTGCCCCCGTCATGAGTCTGCATAGAATTTCTTGTCTCTGACAGCAGAGCACTGTGTGTCTCACCATCTTGAAGTTCTCGAGATTCACAGACAGCACTGCTGGGTGGCAGGGAGCTAAGCCCCATCTTACACATGGGGAACTGCATCCCAGAGGGGCTCAGTGTCTGTCCCAAAATCACACATGGAATCAGAACCAAGGTGAATCCCTAGTTTTGTCTGTGTGGTCACCTGCTCCCTCTCCCCAGCTCAAGCTACTGTATTAATCTATGGATTGTCCTCCCTCTGGACCTTCCTTATGCGAACCATCCTGTGCCAACAGACATTGAACACTCAGCATTTTGGTAGCATTTTGGATTAAGACCTTTATGAAGCTCCGTTCTCAAGCATGATGTTTTTCTGTCTTCCCCACTGCAGATCTGCGCAGGATGACAGCTGGCTTCATGGGCATGGCTGTGGCCATCATCCTCTTCGGATGGATTATCGGGGTGCTGGGGTGCTGTTGGGATCGAGGCCTTATGCAATATGTGGCGGGGCTTCTCTTCCTCATGGGAGGTAAGGATTTTGGTGTCTGAGAAGAAAAATGTTGCTTTCATGTGTTCCCCCTTTTCTGTGTCACTAAAAACATGTTTTCAGAATTGTTTTAAGTGGTCTGGACTTGGTTTCATTCTGAGTTCCTTCTGTTGTATGTTATAAATAGCCCAAATGTGGTTGCATATTCCATAAGTCAAACTGGGAAGGGCCTTTCTGGGTTGCTTAGACCAGACCACTATTGATACAAGTAACACTGTCACAGAATCTCCTATTCCTTCAGCTTTCTAAGATTAATAAATTTCGTAATAAAACTCTGAAGATGAGGCACATGTTATTTCCACTACTATTCTGTTCCACTGTGGGAGACTTTGGTAGCTGGAATCTGCGCCCATCAACGTTTTAATATGTGTTTATTCCTGCTCAGTTGTTCTTTGAGTTAAATGCCACCTTTGGTTTAAGTTCTCTGATGCTTACGAAGAGCAATGGTAAATTCTCACCTTTCCTTCTCTAAATATGAGTTTTCTACTCCTGCAGATTTCTCTCTGTAGGATCAGTTATCAATCCAGCAGCCCTTTCTGCCACCCGTTCTTGTTTGTACATGCCTCTCTCAAATATAGATGAGAAGAGAAATTCCCAAACAAGGTGTGATCAGTGTCTTGTATAGTGATGTGAAGGTTCCAGTGCCCTGTTGGAAGTCCCTTGCGTGAAGTACTTTATGACTGTATTTGCCTTTTTCATGCTATGTCACACGGGAGACCCACAGCCATCCTTCAGTTAGATAATACATCCAGGCATTTCTCCTCCTTTGTAATTTTCTACTGATTAGCTCACCGTTTACAGCGGAGTTTCTGTTTATTAGCCCCTAGATATATGCCCTGGCACTCTGCTTTTGCACTTGTTCCCATTTTCACTACAGTAACCCTCAAGGTTACTGTAGGAAATAAGGAAATAAGGTTACCCAATATTTCCTGTGTAATGTTCCAGTCTTCCTTACTACAGATGCCATCCAACTTTCTGCCAGCAGCAGGCTTCATAGCACGTAATTACTTTAAACAAAGGATGTGAGAGTTAAGTCCCAACCACAGTGCTTCCTGAACATCTACAACTGAACAGTATTACTCCTGTTCTCCATTCTTTTTTTGCTGGTTGTTTTTGCTTGTCTGGGTCCTTGCCCACCGAGCATATCAGCATTTCAATGCATTTGACCACTTGTTCACCCTCACTGTGGTGTGCTACAGCTAAGAGTGCAAAACACGGGAAAGTATGGGTAGTCCCAGAAGAGAAGCTAAGTGCTCAGATAATAAGCATTTATGTTCCAGTGCTGTTGGTGAGATAGTTGCTAGTTGTCTTGGTGCCCACAGACACATTTAAAGTCTGCTAGTACCCTTTGCAAATACACACTGGTCTATATGTGGCTGCCAGTAAATGGTTTGTTGTGGGTGTTCAGCACATTATGGGCAATGGGTCTGCCAAATTAGCTCAGTATTGCTTATGTAATTAAAAGCTTAATTTGCATGGGGGCTATGATACTATATTATGCTCAGATATCTGTGTGATATTTAACTTACTACAGCACGGCATCAGATTAAAGTGTTTGGAATATAGTGAATAAATACAAGAAGCAATTTATTTTTTTTTTAGAAACTGGCTAAGTCTTATTTAGCAATTGAAAATTATCAATAAATGTGGGGAATTTCTAGCAAAAAAAAGTTTCTTTTGAAAGCTCATGAAAGCTTTCAGGTGAAACAAGACTGAGTGTAACCACACATAATGAGATGGGTCACTCACAACTTAGAAAAATAACAGTAGTTTGGTATGCTCAAACTATACACATTTCAGTGGAGACAGATTCAAGGTCGTGCAACTGGGAACAAAAGCATCAGTCAGCTTTGCAGAACACAAGGCTGCCTCTCGGAAAGCAGCAGCTCTGAGAAGGTCTCTGGGATCATGGTTGCTGGGATCTCCAACTGCACAGGAGCTCTCAGTGCAATGCAGCTGCTACATGTGCCAGTTCATCCCAAAATTGTTTTGGTGGGAATATGCGATAAGAGCATAAGGTAGGATGATTATCTCTGGGGAAAGCTGAACTGTTTCTGTATATCCTAACCTGGTATCCTTAGCAAAAAGGATGCGGGAAAGATGGAAGAGATTTGAAGAAGAGCTATAGGAATGACTGCAAGTTTGGAAAACACGAAAAATACAGTGTGCCACAAAAGCCAATTGCTTGAAAGTGTTTAACAGAAGGTTTATAATTGACTTGAACACAGTGTGGAAGTACCTGTGCAAGGAGAAACCATCTGATAGTAGCATGCTCTTTGACTGAGTAGACAAAATAATAACAAGATCCAGCAGTTGGAAGCTGAAACTAATTGAAATGAGAGGCACCAGATCATTTTATCTGCCAAATTCTGTCAAGATGTGTGATATTTTTAATGAAGATGTGTTGGGAGGAGATCAAACATATTTTCTGCTCCAGCGTAGGCACGTGAATCAAAGTTTCAAAGGGTTATTATTCTCTTTGTTGCACAAGTCCATGGCAACTGCTACCCCTTTCCTGATTTCTTTTAACAGCAAATGTAACATCTACAAAATGAAGCAGTCAGTTAATAGCATACATAATTAAAGCCATCTAATCTGTTAGTCAGTAGCTATCAATGTTTTCTTGCTGCATCACAAGCTACGTAGGCATTCTTTCTACAGCCAATGAATATAGCTTGAACCTTTTGTTGCCAAACAGTGTTTGAAGATGAATCTGTTACCTCTGTCTTGACATAAAAGCTGTCAAGATGTCACCCCATCAGCTTTCAAAATGCCTCTTAGTTCTGGTTAGTTTTCTTCTGGTTCAAAAAGAGGGAAAATGCTTTGGGAGGCTTATAGTGTCCAACCTCACTGCAAATAACAGAATTCTGTGTTACGTTGGTAGCTTTATAATCAGTCCAAAATCTGACTTTCCCTTCCATTTGCAGTGCTGCTTGTTCAGGCTATGTTTGTAGCATTTGTTTTGCATTAATTTATAGATAAACAGCTCTCCTGTAACAATTTCAGGGTTAAACATTACTTGCTTAAGTTATCTATGGGTTTTGAACAGGAAATCTCAATGGAGTACTGAGAAATGTGCTGTGGTAATCTTACAAGACTAGACATGGTTTCCCTGGACCTCTGGTTCTTTAATATATTTACTGAATGGTCTTCTTGCTAGCCCATGTGGCAGTGCTTAATAAGGACTTGCTTTGCTGTGCTTGAAGTAATTTCTCAAGCAAATTGCTGGAATAAGTCATTTGTGAAATTCAAGGCTGTTATCTGGTATTAGCTCATCTGGAATCCAGGACATGTGAACTGTGATTTAGAGTGTATTTTACACTGTTATTCAGCATGTTTTGTAACAAGTTTAAATTATTAATAATTCATCTTTCCTTTTTAGTCCAAATGTGTCTGTATCAGCAGCACACATCTCTTATGGCTTCTGAAATTCTCTTGCATAATTTTCTGTATTTATCATAGGATTTGCACTTGGATTTCCTATCTTGAATGACAACATTTACGTGACCTCAGTAGATTTTGTTTTAGGCCCTCATCTTGCACAAAGCCAGATGGACACTGCAGGTTATATGGAGTATTTCTGACCTCGTTTTGAATGATGATACTGCTGCATAATGTCCTGCACCCAGGCCTGTAGCTTCATTTCAGTATTACCAGTATGATTTTATCCTACAAAAGTTTCTCTTCTGGAGTTTCTCCATTTGGAACCACGCTCTTCAGTTTCCTTAAGATTTGTTCATTTTATGCATTCTACTTGACACTGTTTAATTCTATTATAGAAGTGGGTCACACTCAAATTATATATCACTCCAAGCACATCCTCTTGCAGCTTCTCGCTTGTTCTCTACATGCAAATTATTGAAAATCTGTGCACCAGTGAAAGCTCGATGCTGGGCACATCCTCCAGTAATTTTCCAATTTTATAATAGTCACTGAAACCTTAGAGGCATCTGTAACACTGCTTTGAAATGTCATGGTCCTGTGGCAAACTGATCAAGTTTCATGAATATCAAGTACTTAGTGACAGTCTAGAAGGAGTTCAGTTAAACATCTACCAAAAGAAATGCACATATTTGGGGCATTTTATATATTCTGCTTTGACCAAAGCATGTTTAGTTGCACTGAAACCACGCCTTTGCTTTTTGAAGCTTGAGCGTGATTTCTTCATCAGTTCCCATGAAGCAGTCCTTACAGTTTCAGACTTGGAAAAGTTCTTCTGAGTGTATCCAAATCCTCGACTTCTTTACTTACAGTGGCAAACTTGTCACTTCATTTGGTTGGTGTCTTTCCTCCCCCAGTAGCAGCCAACATTGTCGCCAACTTAAGGTCAAATTTCTGTTTCTCTTCCAGCCCCAAAGAGTTGAGATGCTGTGAACTGGCCCACTGGTAACCCTGTTGGGGCAAATTTCTGCATCTTCAGTGCATCCCTCCTTCCAGTCCTTCATCAAGTTATTTAAGAATATTTCCTGTATCATGTTAGGCACACAGGCTATATGGGTAGCTAGTTATGGCCCTTTTCCCCCATCCTCCAGCACATTCATGTATAGGATCTGAACATGAGCCAGCAGTGTGCTCTGGCAGCTCGAAAGGCAAATGGGATCCTGGGCTCCATCAGGAGAGGGGTGGTCAGCAGGGACAGGGAGGTGATTGTCCCTCTCTACTCGGCTCTTGTGAGGCCCCATCTGGAGTACTGTGTCCAGGTGTGGAGCCCTCAGTACAAGAAAGACATAGAGATTTTGGAAAGGGTCCAGAGGAGGGCGACTAAGATGATCAGGGGGCTGGAGCACCTCCCCTATGAGGACAGGCTGAGGGAGTTGGGCTTGTTCAGCCTGGAGAAGAGAAGGCTGCGGGGTGACCTCATTGCAGCCTATCAATACCTGAAGGGAACCTACACCCAGGAGGGGAGTAAACTCTTCAAAAGGGCTGACAACAGCAGGACTAGGGGAAATGGATCGAAGTTGAAGGAGGGAAGATTTAGGTTG